TAGTTTTTTACATCTATAAGAGCCACCTCTTTTTCGGATACATGATAATTCTCTTATAAAATTTATAAAGCCGTAATTCCTAACTCCTAACCTCAGAAAGATAATACCTAATATACATTCTAGGATTACAATAATATACACATTAACGGGGTTATGATCGACAGGTAATGTTATTTTTAACAGACACGTTATTTGTAAACAGGTTGTAATTTCTGTGTGTTTATCAAATAACAGACCTGTTAAAAATAACACAGGTTGTCAATCATAACCCCCTTAACTACTGTACAACTTCTATAGTAGAGCTGTAAAAGTAACGAGAAAACCAATACCCGTATAAAAATATTCGTTACTCGTTACTTTCGTTACTGTGATGCGAATCTACAGAACATGCGGCGCATGGGCCTCGCACACGTCTAATGCGGATGCGGAATTGGTGTCTAACTAATCGTACGTACGCATTGGTTCGGTTGTTAGGTTGGTATTGGTACTGTCTAACAGGGGGTGCGGATGAGATTAGATATCGAATCGTTGGTTAATTAAATACGTAGCGAATTTGTAATTAGTAACAAAGTCGTGTAGTTCACGGAGCATGAGCAATGACGTAAAGTTTTGCAAAATAAAATATCGTCAGACAGAAACATATATATTTTTCTAACACACTAGTAGAAACAATAATAATACTCCATAAAATCATAACTTAAATAAACAAAAACATATTATATTCTTGCAACACGCTAACAGAAAAACAACTATTATACTATTCTATAAAACCAAAATAAGTCCCAGTCGCGTGCGACTTGATAGTCGATAGCTCGATTCGCATCAGACTCACACTCGCATTTCGCATCTTGCACACCAAACTGGTATGTTTGTGCGATATGCGACGATGCGGATTCGAGTAACGAAGTAACGAAATTTAAAATGCAGTAACGAATTCGTATTTCGTATCTGACCGACTACCCGTTACTGAGTAACGAATACATACGGTTTGCCACAGCTCTATTCTATAGTAACACGGTGTATTATATCATTTTTCTAATTTTGACATATAAAGTGACATCTTTTGTAATCGAAGCAAGTATCAAAACGATCAAAACGATTATGTAACTGATTACGAAAAGTTGATTATGTCACCAGTTATGAAATGAAAATAAATAAAAATGCATTTTTTGAATTTAAATGTGGTTGAATGAAATCTAAATCTAATCTAAATCTAAATCTAAATATAAATATAAATATAAATCTAAATCTAAATATAAATCTAATCTAAATCTAAATCTAAATCTAAATCTAAATCTAAATCTAAATCTAAATCTAAATCTAAATCTAAATCTAAATCTAAATCTAAATCTAAATCTAAATCTAAATCTAAATCTAAATCTAAATCTAAATCTAAATCTAAATCTAAATCTAAATCTAAATCTAAATCTAAATCTAAATCTAAATCTAAATCTAAATCTAAATCTAAATCTAAATCTAAATCTAAATCTAAATCTAAATCTAAATCTAAATCTAAATCTAAATCTAAATCTAAATCTAAATCTAAATCTAAATCTAAATCTAAATCTAAATCTAAATCTAAATCTAAATCTAAATCTAAATCTAAATCTAAATCTAAATCTAAATCTAAATCTAAATCTAAATCTAAATCTAAATCTAAATCTAAATCTAAATCTAAATCTAAATCTAAATCTAAATCTAAATCTAAATCTAAATCTAAATCTAAATCTAAATCTAAATCTAAATCTAAATCTAAATCTAAATCTAAATCTAAATCTAAATCTAAATCTAAATCTAAATCTAAATCTAAATCTAAATCTAAATCTAAATCTAAATCTAAATCTAAATCTAAATCTAAATCTAAATCTAAATCTAAATCTAAATCTAAATCTAAATCTAAATCTAAATCTAAATCTAAATCTAAATCTAAATCTAAATCTAAATCTAAATCTAAATCTAAATCTAAATCTAAATCTAAATCTAAATCTAAATCTAAATCTAAATCTAAATCTAAATCTAAATCTAAATCTAAATCTAAATCTAAATCTAAATCTAAATCTAAATCTAAATCTAAATCTAAATCTAAATCTAAATCTAAATCTAAATCTAAATCTAAATCTAAATCTAAATCTAAATCTAAATCTAAATCTAAATCTAAATCTAAATCTAAATCTAAATCTAAATCTAAATCTAAATCTAAATCTAAATCTAAATCTAAATCTAAATCTAAATCTAAATCTAAATCTAAATCTAAATCTAAATCTAAATCTAAATCTAAATCTAAATCTAAATCTAAATCTAAATCTAAATCTAAATCTAAATCTAAATCTAAATCTAAATCTAAATCTAAATCTAAATCTAAATCTAAATCTAAATCTAAATCTAAATCTAAATCTAAATCTAAATCTAAATCTAAATCTAAATCTAAATCTAAATCTAAATCTAAATCTAATCTAAATCTAAATCTAAATCTAAATCTAAATCTAAATCTAAATCTAAATCTAAATCTAAATCTAAATCTAAATCTAAATCTAAATCTAAATCTAAATCTAAATCTAAATCTAAATCTAAATCTAAATCTAAATCTAAATCTAAATCTAAATCTAAATCTAAATCTAAATCTAAATCTAAATCTAAATCTAAATCTAAATCTAAATCTAAATCTAAATCTAAATCTAAATCTAAATCTAAATCTAAATCTAAATCTAAATCTAAATCTAAATCTAAATCTAAATCTAAATCTAAATCTAAATCTAAATCTAAATCTAAATCTAAATCTAAATCTAAATCTAAATCTAAATCTAAATCTAAATCTAAATCTAAATCTAAATCTAAATCTAAATCTAAATCTAAATCTAAATCTAAATCTAAATCTAAATCTAAATCTAAATCTAAATCTAAATCTAAATCTAAATCTAAATCTAAATCTAAATCTAAATCTAAATCTAAATCTAAATCTAAATCTAAATCTAAATCTAAATCTAAATCTAAATCTAAATCTAAATCTAAATCTAAATCTAAATCTAAATCTAATCTAAATCTAAATCTAAATCTAAATCTAAATCTAAATCTAAATCTAAATCTAAATCTAAATCTAAATCTAAATCTAAATCTAAATCTAAATCTAAATCTAAATCTAAATCTAAATCTAAATCTAAATCTAAATCTAAATCTAAATCTAAATCTAAATCTAAATCTAAATCTAAATCTAAATCTAAATCTAAATCTAAATCTAAATCTAAATCTAAATCTAAATCTAAATCTAAATCTAAATCTAAATCTAAATCTAAATCTAAATCTAAATCTAAATCTAAATCTAAATCTAAATCTAAATCTAAATCTAAATCTAAATCTAAATCTAAATCTAAATCTAAATCTAAATCTAAATCTAAATCTAAATCTAAATCTAAATCTAAATCTAAATCTAAATCTAAATCTAAATCTAAATCTAAATCTAAATCTAAATCTAAATCTAAATCTAAATCTAAATCTAAATCTAAATCTAAATCTAAATCTAAATCTAAATCTAAATCTAAATCTAAATCTAAATCTAAATCTAAATCTAAATCTAAATCTAAATCTAAATCTAAATCTAAATCTAAATCTAAATCTAAATCTAAATCTAAATCTAAATCTAAATCTAAATCTAAATCTAAATCTAAATCTAAATCTAAATCTAAATCTAAATCTAAATCTAAATCTAAATCTAAATCTAAATCTAAATCTAAATCTAAATCTAAATCTAAATCTAAATCTAAATCTAAATCTAAATCTAAATCTAAATCTAAATCTAAATCTAAATCTAAATCTAAATCTAAATCTAAATCTAAATCTAAATCTAAATCTAAATCTAAATCTAAATCTAAATCTAAATCTAAATCTAAATCTAAATCTAAATCTAAATCTAAATCTAAATCTAAATCTAAATCTAAATCTAAATCTAAATCTAAATCTAAATCTAAATCTAAATCTAAATCTAAATCTAAATCTAAATCTAAATCTAAATCTAAATCTAAATCTAAATCTAAATCTAAATCTAAATCTAAATCTAAATCTAAATCTAAATCTAAATCTAAATCTAAATCTAAATCTAAATCTAAATCTAAATCTAAATCTAAATCTAAATCTAAATCTAAATCTAAATCTAAATCTAAATCTAAATCTAAATCTAAATCTAAATCTAAATCTAAATCTAAATCTAAATCTAAATCTAAATCTAAATCTAAATCTAAATCTAAATCTAAATCTAAATCTAAATCTAAATCTAAATCTAAATCTAAATCTAAATCTAAATCTAAATCTAAATCTAAATCTAAATCTAAATCTAAATCTAAATCTAAATCTAAATCTAAATCTAAATCTAAATCTAAATCTAAATCTAAATCTAAATCTAAATCTAAATCTAAATCTAAATCTAAATCTAAATCTAAATCTAAATCTAAATCTAAATCTAAATCTAAATCTAAATCTAAATCTAAATCTAAATCTAAATCTAAATCTAAATCTAAATCTAAATCTAAATCTAAATCTAAATCTAAATCTAAATCTAAATCTAAATCTAAATCTAAATCTAAATCTAAATCTAAATCTAAATCTAAATCTAAATCTAAATCTAAATCTAAATCTAAATCTAAATCTAAATCTAAATCTAAATCTAAATCTAAATCTAAATCTAAATCTAAATCTAAATCTAAATCTAAATCTAAATCTAAATCTAAATCTAAATCTAAATCTAAATCTAAATCTAAATCTAAATCTAAATCTAAATCTAAATCTAAATCTAAATCTAAATCTAAATCTAAATCTAAATCTAAATCTAAATCTAATCTAAATCTAAATCTAGATCTACTCGTAGATCTAGATCTAAATATAAATCTAATCTCAATCTAGTTAGACTACAAGTATAAGATTTCAGATGCGTTTTTGGATGTAGTGAATTTGGTTTTAATTTGAAATGCTAAATATTTTTATGGGTAACATTAAAAAAAAAACAGACAAATAATGTTATACTAAATTATTTATTTAACATTTAGAGAAAAACGTGTAATAACAATATCAAGTACATTTCTCAATAATTACGAAAACTAGGTAAATAAAATATATTTTCTTCATAATCTTTTAGCCCTTCTTGAACTTTAGTACTAAAATACTGATTGTCAAGAATACGAAAATCCAGGAAGTCAGGGAAATGAATCCGCCATATACCACAGAATTCGTTACTCCCCATCCTCTGGCTAACACACATCTCAAGCTATCGGTAGCTTGAGTAAGAGGAAGGATAAACGATACAATCTTTAAATAGTCGTTCATGGCTTCTATCGGCCAAATTATACCACATAACATTACGATTGGTAGGAAACTACCCAGTGCCATGTAAGTAGCTGATCTTTCGTTGTCACATACACAGGAGACTACAAAACCTGAAAATACGAAAATACATTATAAAACAGTGGGTAAATTAGTAGTTTGTGTAACAAGAGTGGATATGAAGGCCATATCGCACGAATACGAAGTTTAAAGTTTAAACATGCCTTTAATTTAACTAGGACGTAAATATTCTTACCAAAACACATTCCACATACACCAGCCAGTACAGTAAGAGCCATTACTGTGATCCAGTTCCCTTGTTGGGTCAAATTGAATAACGCAAAAGCCACCAAGAGCACCATAATCGTCTGTCCAAACATAATCACAAATTGTGTGATAATTTGTGAAAAAAGAAGTTCCGTCCCACTGATGCCGTTGACCAAAGATCGTTCCAAAATACCTTCGTTTCTCTCCATTATCATGGATCCAGAGGTTAGGGCTACAGCCATGAAGAAGATAATACTGCAAATACATAATTAGTTAATGGAAACTTTAAGGCGTCCTAGATACATTGTTTAAAATAGGAAAAATGTTTCGAACCCACTTAAAGTAAAAATATTACATTTTGCGCTACCAGCCTTGTAATTTATGTAACAATCTGATTCTGAATTCAACATTCAGCATACAATTAGGTACTCTTATAAACAAGTAGAATAGATTCTTCATTTCTCAAATGGGGTCAATATATTCAAAAAATAAAATAAAACACCAAATCTGTATTACATACAATGCAGTCTAACAAGAAATAATTACAGCAGATACCTCCAGAAAAAGCCACCACACCTAGCCGGCTTTCTAGCAATAATCCGAAAGTAGTGCATCGAAGAGGCCATCTCCATGGCAACGCAGATATTCTTTCCAGGCGACTTTATTTGGAACAACAATGTCGGGACTGTAAAAGGATCGAAGAACGAGAGGAACCGGTTAAAAAAGTTAGTCTTCGGGCGACTACCTTCAAGCCAGAGGACGACGAAGACGAAATCACCCTTGAAAGCCTGAGAAAGGGACAGAAGAAAGACAATGACTTGAAGGTTGCTCGAGAGAGCAAGAGAGCAAGAAATAGTGGAACTAATAAAGGGTACTGGGCTCAGTGGGATTCCCTGTATCTTCACGATGGCCTAATGCACCGAAAGTGGAATAGCCCCGATGGAATACATGTAGTCATACATGTACAGTGGTTTAGGAGAACATTTTGGTAATAAATAGACACTGGCACGAGTTCGGGAGATATTTTATTGGGTAAATTGCCAACGGGAAGTGAAAGATTGGTGTAAAAAATGTGATTCATTCAAAGGCAGATAAAAAGGTCTACGGATTCGCTCAAGAACGTTTGGAAGCCAGCAGCGATAAAGCAAAAGCTAGAATCGACATGCATGCCACAGGGACGCATGTTGAGAGAGGCGACCCAGTGTGGCTGTATAATCCCAAGTGCCAAAAAGAACTTTGTCAGATACTGCAACGAAACTGGGAAGGACCCTACACTGTCCTCAAGAAAATCAATGACTTGGATCTACCGCATTCAGTTGTCAGTGGGAAGTAAACCCAAGATAGTTCACATTGAAAAGTTTGCGCCATAACGTGCACCAGATCCTCCCCGTTGGCTCCAACAAGGACCCAGTAATCAAATTATTCGGGACGAATAATTAGAGAAGCGGGAGCAATGTTACCCTACACCCTGCAGTAGCTTGCGGGTGTTATAGGAAACGTACGAATAAAAGAAGAAGTGCAATATCACCATAACTCGGCAGTGTGCCGCGGAAGTCATAAGTAAAAATTCGAATAAAAAAAAAGAGAAGAGAACAGTCTAGAAATGTCACTCCGTGTCGAGAAACATCTGGATGGTTCAAGAACGTTTAAAGGAACTATAAAAGTCGATGATCTTGACGTCACAGTTTTAGTTAATGTTAGTAGTTGGTAGTTGAATTGCAAAAGTTGAGTTGTTAATAATTTAAGTTACAAAAAACCAGCGTAACAATACTTTCAAACAATTATAAATTAATTCTCCTATACTGCAACTTACAGATTTTTCGATAGCAGTACAAGGTCCTGGATCCTATAAACGAATTGCTTATGCGTCAACGAATCGGAACAAAAATATAGTACCATAGAAAGAGAATTGCTTGGCCATAGTTTCGGCTTGTCCTACCGACGTAAAATAAAGATGAGACGCTTAATTATATATTGGATGTGAGAGCGATAAAGAGAGTTATTTGAACCACACCATTTTGATGGCATGCATGGGATATTCTTATTATATTTCTGTCTATTCAATAGTATTTTGTTTGTATACCGTTCTGGATTGAACTGGAAAGTTAACGTATTGTATGTAACCCAAAAAATACTTACGTCAATATTACACCAGGTGCAGCAAAATCCGTAAAATCCGGATTCTCGTATCCATAAATAGGAGGTTTAAACTGAAACAATTATATAAAAATAAAGGAAATATGCGATAATAATAGTTCACTTACAGCTATAGGTAACTGGAAAGTATTGGGGTTCCATCCACAACTTTCAAATAAAGAGCCAACAAATCTTTGGAAACCAAAAAGTAAGTCCCTGTCCAAAAATGATGCTATGTTCTCGTCTAAAATAAAGAAAATAATATATATGTAAACGTTAGGAATAAATTCCTGTACATCTAGGAGTATACAGTACCACAGGGTTGGCATAATTGGCGGAACACCAGATTTCTGGCTTTATTAGACAAGTAATAAGAAAGCTCGGATTTTTTTTAGATGCAAATCTTTTGATGCACATATATTTTCATAACACTCATCACTATTCTAATGTCATCTCTAGTTTTTTCAAATGGTAACACTATTATTTGATAATACCGAATTAAAAGAGCACATTTTTTCGTGCATGAACGCCAAATTTCTTAGTATGTTATTTAACAATAATTTTAAGAAATTAATTCTTACAAAACGTTATATTTAGCATTCGTAATAATTAAAAAAAAATGTTTTTCTAATTTTGGCATTTAAAATGACATTTTTGTAATCACAGCAAGTGTCAAAATGATCTACTTTACGCAACCAGTTGCAAATTGTAGAACATTATGAAACTGGTTAAGAAAATTTCATTATGTCACCAGTTGTGAAAAGAAAAGAAATAAAAATAAACTTTTATTTGGTTTTAAAATAAATAATATACATTATTATTGAAAGTTTATATCAAAGAAGAGCAGGTTGACTTATAAAAATAAAATTTGAATAAACTTAAAACCTAGTAATAATGTTGCTTTGGTCCTTATTTTCCATTCTAAATCAGCAAAAAATAATTAAAACACAATACACGACAAAATAACCCACTTCCTTCAAAACGAAATACCATTAAGCCATATAAAGACACTACAAATCGTTGATAACAAATAATATTGTTCTATTTGTCAATAAAAGTATGCATATGTAACTAACAATACAAGAAAGTAGTAATATTGGTTGCCAAGATGTCAGTAATTTCTTAAAAAAACACATTTTTATAAGTAATTTAGTAAAAATTAGAAAAATATTGCATGTAACACGTTACGAAATGCCGTTTGATTGTTTGTTTACTGATAATATAAATATTATGCTCTGACCACGTTAGGTCTTTAGTAATGATAACGCCGAGATGATTTTGAGACGATACTGTCTTTAAGGCATTATTATTAATATTATACACTAATTTAGGATTGCTTTTACCAATATGAAGAACAACACATTTATCAACGTTTAGCGGTAATAACCAGTCTGAACTCTACTTTGATACCGTACTTAGATCAGATTGATAGTCCGCAATCGGATTAGCGGAATTTTTTGTATCGTCTGCATAGAAGGAGCAACAGCTTTTTATGTGCACAGAAATATCGGCAGTATATAATAGAAAAAGTAGGGGACCAAGGACTGATCCCTAACAACTGATTTGGTTTGAGAGAAACTATTACCAACTCTTACGCGAAATTGTCTGGAGGTTAAAAAGTCCGTTACCCAAGCTATTAAGTTGCCTCGGATTCCCAGGTGTTCAATCTTTTTGAGAATTCGGTGCTTTGGAACTATATCAAAGGCTTTAGAAAAATCCAAGTATATAACTTATGTAGGAAGACCAGCATCTAAGGCTTTTGTCCAGTTATTCACAGACTGCAGGAGATTGGTTAAGGTAAATCGTCCTCTGATAAATCCATGTTGTTGGATGGGAAGTACACGTTCGTTTACAAGAAAGTCAGTTATTTTATCACATATTATGGACTCCATTACTGTACAAACTATTGGTACAAGAGTTATCGGTCTATAGTTATTTGGGTCAAGCTTATTGCCCTTTTTGAATATGGCAGTCACTCACGCAGTCTTCCATATAGATTGGAAGATGTGATAATTAAAGGAGGAAGTCATTATATGGGAAATAGGATAACAGAGAGTGACCAGATTCAGTATTGTTGGCACACTTATCTTCATTTTCTTTTTGTAGAAGAGGTACGGACACTTTGGATGTCAGATTTGTTCTAAAATATGTATAGAACTTTTTGCTATCAACACAGTTGGCGATGTACTCCTGATAGTTATACTTTGCTTCAATAACTGCGGCCTTTAGTTGATTGGAGAATAGTTGACGAGCAGAGAAATAATGGTTCATATTGGTGGTTCGCTTAAATTTTTTCCATAGGTGTTTCTTATGTTTTACCATAGACAGCAGTTGATTATTTATCCAGGGTTTCAGATTGGTTCTTCTGTTTATTTTGTTTTTAGTATGAGATTTTACGCAATCATTATCTGTATTTTGAAAGATATTCCACATGCACCTCGGATCATTGTTTTCAGGGATAATATTAATTCAGTCTAGTTGATCTAGATAGGAAAAAACTTCAGCAAAGTTTGTGAATGAGAAAATAGTGTGATTGAATGTGCAAGAAGTGAATGATTGAAATTGTAAACGACACGTTATGACTGCATGATCAGATATTCCAACTGGTGGGAGATACACCGGTGGGGTTAAGAGTTGTTCATCATTGGTAAGTAGTAGATCGAGGGTAGAAGGTTCCTGATTCATTCTAAATCTCATGGGTTGGGTTATTAGTTGAACAAAACTAGAATTGTGGATAAATTCCATGAACTGATTGGTAACATTTTGCGTATCAGGTATAGAAGTAATTGGCCATTTAATGTCTGGAAAATTGAAATCACCTACTATAATCAGATTTTCAGAACCACTTTAGGATATCGAGTTTGTCTAACAGAGCCGCGTCAGTAGCAACAGGTGTGTCTGGGGGACGGTAAATAACTGCAAGAGTAATACGGCAATTGAGATGTTGCAGCTGCAAATAAAGAGAATCAATACGAGGAACTGAGATATCTACGGATGAGATTGTAAAACAGTCTAAGATATGTTGAGCTACATATATACATACTTCCCCTCCTCGTCTATCAATTGGATCATATCTAAAAATCTGGTAATTAGGAATAGAGACTAAGCTGTCTGGAATATTTACATTGAGCCACGTTTCGGTAATTAAAATAAGGTCCGGTTTTTTAGATTAAATAAGAAGAGAATTTAAATTTGTGTACAATAAGAGTCAATCATTGAAAGTTGAAGATGAAGCAGTTAATGCTAAAATTTTTGTACGATCTTTGGTGATCCATTAATGTACTTGATAGTCTAGTCGTCAGTGCCATTTTGATTTTTATTTTTCAATTCAGTTCTAAGTTCGTTTAGGTATGAATTTTGAGCCTGAGTTTTGTCATCGGTGATACTAAAATCCTTGGTTAAATTATTTTCCATCAGTTTAAGTTTCGAGCGAAGAATAAACTTAGCATCAGATTCGCATTGAAAAGTGACTTTAATCATTCGAAGGTATTTATTGTTAGAATTTGGTTTTCTGATTCTATAAAAAGAAACCATTTCGGCTGTTGAACCGAGCGAGCGCCTCTGCGATCCCGCGAATTAGAATATTCTTGGCAAGGCGCATTCTATCAACTGCTTCTGCAGTAACAGTTTTGATAAATTCAGGAGAACGAAGAGATTCGGAATTTTTAACTTGGTCCTTAAATTCTGATAGCTGATTATTAAATGATTCGATATTATTTTGTATACCTTTAAGTTTTTCATTAAAAGAATCAACCTTTTTATCAATATTTATTTTAAATGTCTCTAGGATACTCTTAATTTCGCTAAACTGATCTACGATTGAGGAGCATTAATATAATAAATAATAAAATTTTAGAATGATCATTTTTAAAATCGGCTAAGGCGTTTCCGAGATACAGTCTCATACAAATTAAGGTGAAATTAGGTGTATCGACTAATTCCGTGAGCAGATTATTTTTGCTTAATAAATAAAACCGTTTCAAGCATGTGTGGTGTATATAAGCCAGAAGAAAAAAATGGATATTTAAGTAACATGATTTAATATGGAAAATCAGCAATTTCGATTAAACCTAGCAAGAAGAAATTGCGAGTAACTTGCTAAGATAAGTATAACTTTCCAATACACACAATATTTAAATTGCTCGTTCTGTTTTACAGAAGAAAAACAAATTACAAATCACTATAGTTTTGTTAACTTTCATTTCCACAATGCCATCGCAAATATGCTTTGCTAGCTGCTTACGTTGCCTGCTTGTAATACTGTCTTTTAGTGTCGCCTGATTTATTCTAGTACACCTAATGCTGCATCGTGGCTTAAAGGAAAATTAAAAGAGTTGGATGGAATTGTTTGTACTGACTTGATTCGGAATCTGATATCTTCAAATTACCAATTCGATCAATGTGGCTATTAGCTTTTGTAAGGGTGCGAGGAATGAACTCGAGGATTCAGGTTCGATTCCTAGCTGGGGTACAGTTATGAATTCCAGCTTTTTCAATTATTATTGTTTGGTTTATTGTCGCCTTGGTGTTATTATGGGCAGACGAAAAAAAGATCTTAGAATGTATTGTAGTACACACAATGCGCATCGTATTTCACAGCTGGGTGGAAATGTATGTACCGACAAGATTTGGAATTTGATATCTTTAAATTGATAATTTGGTCATTGTAGTTATTGTGGACTGAAATTAATTTGCAGTCTATGGAGTTCAATTTATTGGATTGTATTACGTATTTAATTAAATTAACATTTTTAAAATTTTTGTAATTAATAATTTAATTTATTATATGATTTCATTTCACAACTTTATCCTATTTATAAATAATTCAAATGTGTATAAACATTAATTATTATAACTACTACCATGTGAATAGCAATTCAATAATAATTTAGCTGAAATTATGGATTAAACTAGCTATAAAAATCCACTTTTATATTGGCAACTTAAAAACCACTAAAATTTACAATGCTACGCGAGTTTCCAACTAGAATTGGTCTGTAACTACACGTGACGTAACACAGATATGGCGCGAATTCGGAAGAATCTTGTTCAACATTCTGTAGAATCGTCTTTTAATAGGTTAAATGTGTCAGTACAGAGCGATCTGGCATTTTTTAACCTTATGCCAAAATAAAACGTTTCGTGTGATTTTGTAAATAAAGGAAAAAACTGTAGTTGACAGCAGTGAGAAAGTACTTTGCTTTGAAAAGTTTAACAAAAACCGAAATCAAAGCAGAGCTGGATTCAACACTACTGGAATCCGCCACTTTATTTCGATAGATGAAAAATTAAGTTGCCTGCCGAATTTAAGCGTGGTCGTATGAGCATAAATAATGAAATACGTAGTAGACGTGCCGGGTATTACTGAAAAAGTCCATCGTATCGTATTGAATTATCGTCGAATAAAACTTCGCCAGATAACAGACAAAATGAGTATCTCAAATGATAGATTGCACGGAATGAAGAATTATGTGCCGCGATTCCTCACGCACCGGAGCAAAAACTTAATCTTACGATTTTTTAGCAAATTTTCGCCAAAATTCAGACTTATTGCGCCCATGTCGCTAAAACCTGGGTCCACCATTATACTCCTAAAATCAAAGAACAGAAACAATGGACACAGAAAGGTTCTCTTTCATCAAAGAAGCCAAAAACGGTATTATCAGCAAGAAAGGTTATAGCCACTGTGTTTTGTGATTCTCATGGACTTATCTTGATCGATTACTTAAAAAAGGTGAAAAACAATAAATTGCCAGTATTATGCCAATTTATTGAAACAGCTTAGAGTAAAGAGAAATAGTAAGAAGGAAGTGCTTTTCCATCAGAATAACGCACCTGCCCACAAATCTGCGATAGCAATGGACAACATTCATTAATTAGAATTAGGATTTGCATTGCTAATTTGAAATATTGGAATAAGTGTGTTGAGCGAGAAATAAAATGTTTTTTTCTTTGAAAAATAGTGCATTATCTTTATCTAGATCAAACTAGAGGTCTCTGCAATACTATACTGTGGCCTCGAAAATAATCTTTCTCTTCGATCCATAAGTTTATGTTTTGTACTTACTAGATTTGTCTTGGTAAACGCTTATAGTTGATGCTAAAAGATCTGAAGTGGGTGCATCTCTATTTTCTTCAACTCTGACCCATAAAGCATCTGTAAAATTGTGGGGTACCACTACAACAGCCCATGATTTGCCACTTTCCACCCTTTTTCTAGCAGCACTTTCCGTTGTTTCGAATTCCTAATAAATAACATGCAATTATACTACGACATACAGAGCGATTTTAAATAATTGTATTTTCCCCTTCTAAATCTAAAACGGATAAATTAATGAATCAACATATACAGTGTGATTAAATAGTGACGTGTAATATTTCGATATTTGACACGTTAACAAAAAATGTTTATAGAATAAATTAAGTTATCCGTATTAGTCAATTATTAGAAATACATAAATCGGGTGCAACTAGTGACGGCACCCGGTAATTTAAAAAGGGCGTTCAATTTATTTCCAATAATTTTAGCATTTGGAAGTTCGGTTCAAAACTTTGTAGAAAGCTGTTTTTTTAATTTGGGTTTGTATTAAGTGTAGTTATTATTATCAATATCATACTGTATTCGAGCACTACAACAATTAACTAACTTGCTGTACTTTAGTGATATATGATCTATAAATAATCGATTAGTCGAAAATAATCGATAAATAATCGATAATAAATCCACAAATAATCGATAAATATTCGATAAAAAAATCGATAAATAATCTATAAATAATCGATAAATAATCTATAAATAATCGATATAAATAATCGATTAATCGAGAATATACTTTATTGCGGTTTCCATTTTTTGCATTTACTTTTTCATTTACATATTTAATTAGATAAGACAAATAAAATCGTGTTTCGGGGATGGGTGGCTCAGTGGTAGAGTTTCTGCCTGCGGATCCAAGGTTCCCAGGTTCAAATCCCACCGTTGGCCGGGATTTTTTCATTTAATTTAATTATTCAAAATTAATTCTGATGCCTTGGTAGGATTCCCCACTCGACCATTCACTGTTGGGTTTTAATTAACAGTGCTGTTTCTAAAGTGGCGCTGGGAAACAGTAACAAAGCCTACACAGAACACGAGGCGAAATAACCTTAGCGGTTGAAGCCAATGGAACAAAAAAACCGTGAAAGCGCAGATCGTATAGTCTTTTTCAACTTGACATTTCGCTACCATTTCGTGACGCGGTTCAATTCTCGATGAAATATCTTTTTTTTATTTTAAAAATTATGAAAATTGGAAAAATACAACTATCATTGTTTATTTATTTAAAATACATGTTATTTATAATAATATAACCCTTACAATTATTTGTTATTTTGTACTCTTTTAATTACGGTTCAGAAAAAAATTGTGAGTAGAGAAGTGGGTAATCATTAATAATAAAAAAGTTTTTGTTCACGGTTGTTCAACTTAAAAAAAATAAACAAAAATACATTAATGTATTCTAATATTTGTTGTACCTAATGAAATTGTAAATAGAATCACAGTATTTTAATTGTAGCAAAACAGTATCTGTAAAACGCTCTAAAAATTATTCAATAAGGCATATAAAAAACAAACCTAAAACGAACCACATCTTGATGGAACCTTTATATCCAGATTTCCTAGATTTACATTTTTTTGATAAATTATTTTGTGATCGTAGGAAAAATATTGTACATTACTTGTGTGAAAGTAATTTTTTACACTCGCGTGAATGTCACACTCGGCTTGTGTCTGGTGCAAAGAAGTAGAGAGGGTAGAACGATAAGGTACCGTCTGCGCATCCATCACGAGTGTAGAAATTATGCGTGATTCAGCCTTCCACTCTTACACACGTAAATGACAAGGAGAGGTTGCCCTAAAGCACTGTAAACAAATTCCAGGATCGACTTTATTCAGCGATTATGTTCATGTTCAGCTCTGTTTTTTGTTTGTGTTTTGGCTGTTGTAAGCTTTTTTGGCGTCAATTCTTTATTATCTTGCTTATATTTATGATTTTTTATGCTTTTATTCCGATTTAGTATTAAATTATACTTGTTAATTATTTTTCGATGCACTATTTTATAATTGTTGCACAAAATGTTGTTAAACCGTCCCTGACTTTTGTTTACAAAATGTGCAAAACGAAATTGTGCATAGTGTCCAGACTTTTTCATTGACAGTTATCATTCTACCCCTCTCCACTTCATTGGTCTGGTGCAACAATATTTCCCACTCGTGTGAAAAATGTCACTTTCCACACTCGTAATGTAATATACTATATTTCGTAATAAGTGTTGTAAAAAGCAAATTATGCGCGACTGCAAACATTTTTCTCGATTATTTTCGATTCTTTTCCATTCTTTTCGATTCTTTTCGATTCTTTTCGATTCTTTTCGATTCTTTTCGATTCTTTTCGATTCTTTTCGATTCTTTTCGATTCTTTTCGATTCTTTTCGATTCTTTTCGATTCTTTTCGATTCTTTTCGATTCTTTTCGATTCTTTTCGATTCTTTTCGATTCTTTTCGATTCTTTTCGATTCTTTTCGATTCTTTTCGATTCTTTTCGATTCTTTTCGATTCTTTTCGATTCTTTTCGATTCTTTTCGATTCTTTTCGATTCTTTTCGATTCTTTTCGATTCTTTTCGATTCTTTTCGATTCTTTTCGATTCTTTTCGATTCTTTTCGATTCTTTTCGATTCTTTTCGATTCTTTTCGATTCTTTTCGATTCTTTTCGATTCTTTTCGATTCTTTTCGATTCTTTTCGATTCTTTTCGATTCTTTTCGATTCTTTTCGATTCTTTTCGATTCTTTTCGATTCTTTTCGATTCTTTTCGATTCTTTTCGATTCTTTTCGATTCTTTTCGATTCTTTTCGATTCTTTTCGATTCTTTTCGATTCTTTTCGATTCTTTTCGATTCTTTTCGATTCTTTTCGATTCTTTTCGATTCTTTTCGATTCTTTTCGATTCTTTTCGATTCTTTTCGATTCTTTTCGATTCTTTTCGATTCTTTTCGATTGTTTTGTTTTCGATTCTTCTCGATTGTTTTGTTTTCGATTCTTCTCGATTCTTTTCGATTCTTTTCGATTCTTTTCGATTCTTTTCGATTCTTTTCGATTCTTTTCGATTCTTTTCGATTCTTTTCGATTCTTTTCGATTCTTTTCGATTCTTTTCGATTTTTTTCGATTCTTTTCGATTCTTTTCGATTCTTTTCGATTCTTTTCGATTCTTTTCGATTCTTTTCGATTCTTTTCGATTCTTTTCGATTCTTTTCGATTCTTTTCGATTCTTTTCGATTCTTTTCGATTCTTTTCGATTCTTTTCGATTCTTTTCGATTCTTTTCGATTCTTTTCGATTCTTTTCGATTCTTTTCGATTCTTTTCGATTCTTTTCGATTCTTTTCGATTCTTTTCGATTCTTTTCGATTCTTTTCGATTCTTTTCGATTCTTTTCGATTCTTTTCGATTCTTTTCGATTCTTTTCGATTCTTTTCGATTCTTTTCGATTCTTTTCGATTCTTTTCGATTCTTTTCGATTCTTTTCGATTCTTTTCGATTCTTTTCGATTCTTTTCGATTCTTTTCGATTCTTTTCGATTCTTTTCGATTCTTTTCGATTCTTTTCGATTCTTTTCGATTCTTTTCGATTCTTTTCGATTCTTTTCGATTCTTTTCGATTCTTTTCGATTCTTTTCGATTCTTTTCGATTCTTTTCGATTCTTTTCGATTCTTTTCGATTTTTTTCGATTCTTTTCGATTCTTTTCGATTCTTTTCGATTCTTTTCGATTCTTTTCGATTCTTTTCGATTCTTTTCGATTCTTTTCGATTCTTTTCGATTCTTTTCGATTCTTTTCGATTCTTTTCGATTCTTTTCGATTCTTTTCGATTCTTTTCGATTCTTTTCGATTCTTTTCGATTCTTTTCGATTCTTTTCGATTCTTTTCGATTCTTTTCGATTCTTTTCGATTCTTTTCGATTCTTTTCGATTCTTTTCGATTCTTTTCGATTCTTTTCGATTCTTTTCGATTCTTTTCGATTCTTTTCGATTCTTTTCGATTCTTTTCGATTCTTTTCGATTCTTTTCGATTCTTTTCGATTCTTTTCGATTCTTTTCGATTCTTTTCGATTCTTTTCGATTCTTTTCGATTCTTTTCGATTCTTTTCGATTCTTTTCGATTCTTTTCGATTCTTTTCGATTCTTTTCGATTCTTTTCGATTCTTTTCGATTCTTTTCGATTCTTTTCGATTCTTTTCGATTCTTTTCGATTCTTTTCGATTCTTTTCGATTCTTTTCGATTATTAATTTTTTCCAATAATAGATTTTTCCTATGAATCGATTATGTATTTATGACTAGAATACAGCAAGTTATTTAATAGTTGTAGTGTTTGAAACCAGTATAATATTGTAATCGATTAATCAAAATGGAATATAATATCTCTAAAAAATTGAAAATATCCGATTAATCTAAAATTACCGATTTTTGTATTTTGTTCGGGGTTTGCGCGTATTTGAATTTACTTAATACGATTGCTTTTACTTATAGTGTTGTGTTGAGTAAATAAAGCGTTAAACAGTTCTACCGGGCGAAATTTAAACAAAACAAAATCAGGGTTGGTATAGTGGCTTTTGTATAGCCACGTAATTTATTCAAGAATTGCTTCACTAAAAGAGCAAATGTTTGTGCGAAATATAAAAAGCATATTTCAGGATTCACTGGCAGCTCTAAGGTTTGTCCTCTCTAAAAACTAACCAAAACAACAGGGAAAAGTTTTGTTTTTTTAGATTGACAGGTTCTTCGAAAATGTGACGAGTTTCAGATGAAATAAAAATGGTAGTTTCTGCGCTTGTATCATTTCTAGAAATGGATCATCTAAGTGATGGAATCAAGCAACCTTTTCATGACTCGGGAATCTTATAAAAAATTCGGAATTTAATTGTATTAAATCGGACGATGCCAAAGAAGTTTTAAGGGATATTGGCTCTCTTACAAAGTTTTACAAATTATAAAATTATTGGAAAAAATTGAACCCCCATTTTAAATTACAACCAGCCGCCACTGGTCGATTTACTATATCGCCGGTGTCGTTCTAATACCTCGTAAGCCCAAAAGTAACATTTTACAGGAGAAGCCAAAAACCGTTCTGTTTATTTATTACTATTACTATATGAGGTATTAGAAAACTTAAATTTTTAAAGTTTTAAAAATTTTGTGGGCTATGAGGTTTTCTGTAATGGTAAATATGGGTAACCGCAACAATTTGACGTAAAAATCTCATTTTTGTCAAAATGAGGGTTACGAGGTATTAGAACGACACCGACGATATGTATATAGATTAGGTTTAGCTGAATAATTTGATATAAAACACAGATTATTTAGTTAAAGAAAAAAAATCACTTTAATCACGATCAATTTAAAACTAGTCTGCTGATATTTACTTTCTAACATTGTATGCGGTATTTATTGCGCCTGTAGGTCGTGTGTTTTTGTATGCATTCCAAGGTAAAAATTTAAATGATGCTACAGGAATCTAAACATAGGTAGTAAGTAAAAAATGGTTTTATATTTTTATTTAATCTTATTTACCCATTCTATAGAGTAGTTGCTAGCGACGAAATCCAAATAATTACAACTGAGCTTCGTGTTGTTACATCCTAAAACGTTTTGAGGGCAATGTTCGTTGGGATAGTCTATTTCTTGGTTAACTACTGATACTTTTATACCAACAGGATCGTGACCAATAGAGAGACAGAACAGTATTGCTTGACCTAAAAAATATATTTATAATAAGCAAAAAATAAAAGTATTTTATTTGGATGTTTTAAAATTAAACTATTCTAGTAAAATAACTAACCAGCCGAGCCAGCGAATATGTTGGTACCTACTTATTTTCTAAATGACTCTTTAATGATATTTAGATTACCTACATTATTAATTCTACTTAACTAACCATAAGTCTGGTGACTGATTTCCGTTGCATTAATTTAGGATAAGCTATAAGCTTGCGAGAGTAAAAACGAAATCTTTACCGATATCATAATAGAAAGGTAAGCATCTTTGCGTTAGTCTGGGAGACTTTGGAGATAAAATAAGCCAAATTGTCTTATTGTTTAATAACGTGATTTAGATACATTAAAAAAATATTGCCAGACTGATGGTTCTATCAGAGTTGATTAACCAGACTACAGTTTTACTAAATGTCATAATAACATCTAAAAGTACATAATCATTATAATCCAAATTGAAATTTCGCTTACATCAATGATTTACAAACTAATTGCGAAAATAAGTATCCAAAAATGTTCACTGGCATGTTAGGCGTAATAATAATAGCTGTACTTAGTGTCTATATTTTTAATCACTAAACTACAATACTGTATGTTACCTTCTTAGATTAAAGAGAAAGATTAGAGATAACAGAGATATAACAATTCATTGATAAAATATAATATTCACGATGCCAAGATTACTTCGACAATCGATACACTCAATTTGTAGTATAGGGGCGAGGCGACGAAAGGTGAGAAGTAAAAGAAGGGATAAAGAGAAGAAATTTACACAGATACAACTTATTTTTATCAATGAATAAATGTGTAAGCCGCTGTGCGCTTATAATAAACAACGTAAATTTCCATGCCGGTGTAAGCCTTGTTGCCACTTCCAACCTAACATAACTGGGGTTTGGAATTTATTGAAAATTATTACATCTAATTTAGTGAAATTACATCTAATTTAGTGAAATTTAATATAACTAATGATTCAAAATTTTTGGGTTCAGTTGAAATAAAATAGGTTGAATAATTTTAGCTTTTTTAATATATTATTATGTAAATAATTTTGTAAACAAAATGAGAATAATGAAATAGGCATATGACAACAGCGGATATTATACCCGCCTGTGTCCCTTAGAATATGTCTTATTCAGGACCGCACGATATTTGTTAGTAGTTACATCTCCTCGTTATCTCTGAGACAGATATACAGTGTAGAGAATTTTTGAGTAAAATATTTTTTCTGCGATACAGTCAATATAAATTTGATTGAAGTCGAATAAAAAATAAAAGTAAAAATAAATAATTTACACACACAAATTCTGTTTCAATAACTTATTCCAAATATGGAGAATAGAACATTAATTGCTGTAGAAATATGTCCCAAATTTTGTAGGAAATTGGGTGATATTGTAGAAACCCTGATTTTGGTGAAGTACCGGATAAAATATGCGCGGTGTACAATGTTACATCTCTGGTCTCTTTAATCTAAATCCTAAGGTCACCTTAAATGCTTACCTACTGGTAAACCTATGATGAACATCATCATAGGTATGTTTCTCCACATCCACAGGAAATTCTTCCAAATTAAGGCCCTCATGTGATTGTATTTAACAATTTTCAAGTAATCCTTAAACGTAACTTCTTCGGGTTCATCATCAGGAGGTAGTTCTGGTGGATGTTCTGCTGATGGTTCCGGTGCTATGGATACCCTCCCTGAAACCAATCAAAAGAACCTAAAGAAAACATAATTTTTTAACTAGCCTCAAGAAGTTTCACGTTTTACAATGATTTTTCTTAAAGACCGAAAACGTTGCATACCTTTTTATAATAGTTTATGGAACAAGAGTGAAAATGATGACCATATCGCACGAAGACAAAGTTTGAGCACGACGCACGAAATAGTAGTACTATTGTGCAACAAGGGTGGATACGAACAATCTACTTGAGTTGTACAGTATATTTTTTCTACAATCCACTAACGAAAATCTACACATTTAAAAAATTATTTTAGGTTATAACTAATTTTAAAATTATTTATAAATTTTACTAATTTGTAAAATAAAAAAAAAAGATTTAATTAATCGCTAACCCGGACTTTTCGCGTGGAAGGCAGACGCTCTTGCCTCTATCACCACTTTTAGGATTTCAGTTTTAATATTCGTAATTAAATTATCATATAGTTTGATTAAATTTTTTAAACCATTATTTAAACAATTTTTTCTGCACCCATCCGTTTGGATGCACTGCTGCAAATGGAGCCAGTTGGAGTACTCTTCATTTACTGAACGTTCATATTTTTGCGACGGAAAATTAACATGGGGTGTATAAAATCTCCAGTTGCATTCATGCACGCAGTTAGAGTTATTAAAGACCTCCTCTCAGCAGAAGTCAAAGAAGCTATTTGTTACTTTCCTTTGCGACCACCTTGTTTTGGACCACCGTACCGTAAGGCCGGTTTTATCTAAATTATAAACGCGGTTAACTTGAAACTTGTATTTTTGATAGGCTTCTTCCAAAAGCGAAAAAAAAAGTTCAACACTTGCTTTATTGAAACTTTTTGCACTTGCAAAAGATGTTCCTATGTTTTTATGTTGTTGCAAACAGGTATTTTATGCCATTTTGTTCTGCTAGAGTGTAAGCCATTTTATGTCAGTTCTAATTAAACCATAAAACTTTGCTTTAATTTCAAGAATAGATCTTACTCTAGCTCTGAGCCTAACACAGTACCTCTTCCGAGTTTAATTTGAACAGTCTCATCTGAACTAACATCAGGCATTGTTGTAACGTATTCACTGGAATTTTAAATGCATTAGCTCCCTTCAAGCTCAAAGTATATAGTCTTTTTCCTTACTGCTTGCATAGCTTTTTTCATGTTATCCAAACTCCAGGTCTTCCTCCACTTATGACTTCCCTTCGGGCCTGCAACTTGTTTTCGACGAGGCTATCGATATACATAAAAAACTATTAATCTAGAAATTCCAATAAACTTCGAGCTAAGAAGTCACTTCTTAAAAGTGCTGTAGACTAGCCCATATTTGTAGCACAGAACTTATCCATTTTAAAATATAAACAAAAAGTATATATTTTTTATATTTATTTAAAGAGATGAAATAGCCCAAAAAATAAGTAAAAAATATTAAAATACTGAATACTATTAGTGAAAAAATATCGTTGAAATCCGTTAAAATCACTGAATTATATCAATTTAAAACAGCAACTTAAAAATTCTGCACTCGTTGATTTAAGAGAACTACAGACAACGTATTTACAGGAAGGCAGACATAACTACATAGTTTCTCCAGAGACAAATTATGTCTTACTGCAGATGGCGCAATACAATTATAGTTAATTCAGTATTGCAAGCACAGCTCATATTTGAACCTTCTCCTCTAATTTAAATCTTTATCTGAATTATTTTTAAAATAGTTATCTTATTTTTAATTTTTTAGTTTTTTTGTTGGGTTGAAAAAAACTCGAGTGGATTTTCATATAATAATAATAAATCGTCTTTATTCACCATAACAAAAAACAAAGAAAGAATACATTTTTTTTTCTACCTAAATATAAAAATAACAAAGGTCAATAGGCGGAGTGTCAGCATAGGCTGTTTTTCAACTCAACCTCAGTAAAGATCCAAGAAAATATCAAGAACCAAAGAGCAGATCCGAGATGAACAGAGATTATTGTTTTTATTAGAACCGTCCTAAACCGTCAATCAAGCCTTTTAACCTTTTTTTAAAATTAATTAGAGTGTACGATCCAAATTCTTTAGGCAGTGTATTGTATAATTTAGCTGCGGTGTAAGAGAAACTTCGCTGTCCAATGGATGAACTAAATTTGGGAATTACTAACGTACTCTTATTCCGAGTTCCGTAATTATTACTGAAATGTGTGAATTTATTAAATAGATATTTCGGTTTTTGATATTTAAGAATTTTGTGAGTTATATTCAGAACATGCAAAGAATGTAATTTTTTGATATGCAGCCATTTTGATTCTTTGAATTTCTGTGAAATATGGTCAAATTTGCATATACCGTAAGCGAACCTAATACACGAATTTTGAATTTTTTGAAGACGATTTAAATCCCTTTGAAGAAGAGCTGGTCCAAATACCGTATCGCAGTATGATAACTTTGACATAATGAGTGATTCACACATTTTTAATTTAAGTTTAGGTGAAAGTATATCCCTATTAGGATACAGTTGTCTTAACACGTTGTATGAGCTTTGAAACAGTTGAGAAATATGTTTTGTGAACCTAAGTTCAGAATCAATCCACAGCCCCAAGTTTTTATGATCATAAACAAGTGGAATGGGGTCATGACCTATGCTAAGTTTAAAATTATTAGTTAGAAGCTTTCTAGCTTTATTGGGCCCAAATAGCATAAAGACAGATTTTTTTGAGTTTAATTTGAGATTAAGTGCTGACGATATATCATATATTTTTTTTAAATTTAGATTTATGATGTATTGAGCTTGTAAAGAATTTCCTTGGTTAAAAGACAAGTAGAGTTGCGAATCATCGGCGTAATGATGAATATGACAATTCTCTACAAATTGATAAAAATCTGAAATGTAAAGTGAGAAAAGTAGTGGTCCTAAAATGGAACCTTGTGGAACACCATACTTAACCGGAAGGGATCTCGACACAGCTTCGTCCAGGACAATTTTCTGGGTGCGATTTTCAAGATAACTTTTTAAAAGTTTAACGGCCCGTGCAGAAAATGCAAAATAGGAAAGTTTTTTTATTAGAAGTTGATGATAAAGTGTGTCAAAGGCCTTGCTGTAGCAGCACTAGGCAAGTAACATTTCCTTTATCGCGCACAAACTTCGTCTTCATGTGATATGACCATCGCATCGTATCCGTACTTGTTGCATCGATAAGATTGTGTACTGAATGAACAAAATAATATATAAGGACAATTTTTTTTTGTAAAATCATTATTTTTCAAAATATTTAATATTTTCAAAGAATAATTTGGATTAATGGTTGCAATTTTTTGTTTGAAACTTTTTTTACTGGTTGTAGCACATTTTAATAATTACGAAATTTTTAAAATAATCTGGTTTTGCTATGTTTGATAAAAAAATTATTTACATACTATTATAAAACCAAGTAGATAATAAAATTTATTGAAATGGAGCTTACTTCCAGTTCTACTGGTGACTGACACACTTTCTCCAAACTCTCCAGATATCTCTCCAACTTCGTCATCTAAAACTGCCGCTTGGTTAACAGTACCGCCTGGTAGTTCTGGAACTACTATGCTTTCAGTAACAGACTGAGCTATACTGGATCTTCTTGTTTTGCCCATGTTTTGCATTACACTCAATTTAAGGAAAACTTCTTCTAAACTTTGCACTCCGAATTGGGTAATTAGTCTTGATGGGGATTCTTCGGCTAGGAAATAGCCTCCTCTCATAAGGCCAATCTGAAATAAAATAAGTAAATATATACAATGGAATGGACTAATAAAAAGCATCGAAATTTTTAATCCATAAATAATGGAATTTATTTATGCAAGAAAATATTAATTTGTTCATTTAATTATATATTTTGAAGAAAAATGTGATTAAAAAATCATTGTTGATAAATATTCCCGCAAAAAAGCACCATATGGAATAACTACATATTAGATCTTTTCCTTTGCATCGAAAGTGTAGCACTCAGTTACACCACTTCTGAAAATATCGTTCCATTTATACAAATTGTATGACGTAGCTCAGTGCTACACTTTCGATGCAAAGGAAAAGATCTATTGTTACAAAGTTTCCAAATGCTGTACTACGAAAGGCGGGACCTCGCTCTGTTCGTCTCGCAAATATTCACTCGTTACATAAAATAAGGCATTTCGCAATTGGTTTCATAAATATCTATTAGAATTTCGCTTTGTTTTCGAAATACAAGGTGTTGAAAAAATTAAAATTGATGCGTTTTCTTATTATTGTTAATTTGTAGCAAACGATATTCCAGTGATATTTGGTACACATAATAAGGGATTTTAGTACTTACTTTGTATCCATTCTATACTTTTCAATTAGTTCACTGGCGGAGATCCGGGTAACGAGTACTATTATTTCTCAAAAATAAAAATAATACGGGCCTGTTTAGATTAAATATTTTTATCTTATTAACGTAAAAATTAATTTTAAGTAAATACTAAAACCCCTTATGTCTACCAAATATCACTGGAATATCGTTTTCCACTTATTAATAATAAAAAGAAAAAAATAATCAAATTTTATTTTTTCGAAAACGAAGCGACATTCTAAAAAAATTCATGCATCATTTTCGTCTTAAAATTAGGTGAAAATTTCCTGCTTCTTTTTGCCAAAGAGGTTATTGTCAACACTTTTCTGTCTGGATTATTTTGTACGACCTATATAACATTTAAAAGGTCACCTTTTAAAAATGTTTTTTTTTTTAAATGAGAGTCATCCTGTATAATCAATGAATCGGTATTAAAGTGATTTAAAGTTGAATCATCGGCGCATGCTACATTGTTAAGAGGGGGAGTTTCGCGTAATGGGAGATTTATTTTGAAATCTGGCCTTTGATGGGTCTAAGATCCTCCCCACTATGCATAAGAACGTTAAATTAATGAGAACTTTACATCATATTGTTACATTGTAACTCTCATTTTTACTCTTGTTTTCATCTGTAGGACGGACTCATAATTGTCTAAGCCCAGAGTAGGGACGTTTTCTTTTGTGATGAAACAATGTAGACGTTGCGGTGAGATTACAGCGCTACCTTGTTACGTTATTTAACGTTATTGGTTCCCAAAAATGATGTCTTTTTAACAAACCAGATGTGACATTTCTGTTATATCCAAGAAAGTCTTTTTACTTATTGTAGATGTTATTATAAAAGCCCATAAAATAAACTCATATTAATGAACCAAATGTGACGTTCCAAATACGATACAGTTCATACCTTTTTATTTATCTTTTAAATTTTATATGGACCATGTTATATAAATATTTTATCTATATAAAACAGAATAAAAATAAATAAACTTGAAGTCAAAAGCTTAGAAGACAAGTTAACTTCTAATTTTTAATCCCAGAAAATTTTACAGAAAAAGTATGATTATACAATGGTCTAAATTAATATCAAAAGTAAAAACTTTGATAAAATACTTAATACTGCGCAACAGACTGCTCCATAATATACAGTAGTACCGGTTAAGTAAGTAGCAAGCGATCATTGGTATCTCCATCTATGAACGCGGGACGAACTGTTAGGTCTGCCAGGTCTGCGATGTAAAGACTAAAGATAGCCATCTTAAAGATGTGTAACTTGTACACATTACTGTGCTGACCTGTATGCGATATTATTTGGAGTTATAAAAATTAACATCGTATAAATGTTTGTTACAGGAAGTAACTAAAAAGAAGTACAAAAGATGTTTATGTAACTGCTAATTCAAGTATTGCAGCGTACATAAAACTTCATTTGTAGATATATGCGAGGAATGATAATGAATATGATGTTTAACTTTATTATGGGATATTTTAGTATCGTTTCAAAAATATATCAAGAAAAGTATCTATGAGAAACGTTACAAAAAAGACTGGTAATGTTTCATGTTTAGTGGGTTTCTTCATTTCAAATTGTATCAATTGACCTGAAAACCAGTGCATTAAACTGCAATAAGTGGTAAGTTCTTAATGTCATTAAAAAATCTAAGAAGCCTTTATATTGCTACCTTTTGTCTAATTCCTTCCCAAAGATAATATTCTCACTAAACAACAGGAATGTTGCACACATGGTTAGTGGGTGGATACATAACATGCTCTCAAAGCGAGCAGTAAACAAACGTGTAGAAGATATGAATATAAGAGGCTTGGTTACAAGGGGATGCCCACAGGGAGGGGTGCTATCACCTCTACTGTGGAATATGCTCCTCGACACCCTCATCAGCCGCCTCAATAATGACAGTCACTACACAATCGCATATGCAGATGACCTGGTCATTCTGCGAACAGGGAATTTTGAGAACATACTCTGCGAAAGAATGCAAGTAGCTCTAAAAATTATAGAACAGTGGTGCAAGGACCATTTACTGTCTATTAATCATAAGAAGACAGAAATGGTCCTTTTCACAAGGAAAAGGATGAAAATGGAATTAAAACTCCAGAACTTCTAAACACAAAACTAAACTTTGCGACAGAGGTGAAGTACCTAGATCTCACTTTTCACAGCAAGTTAACATGGAACTCGCATTTAGAAAACGGAGTTAAAAGAGCATACATTGCTTATGAACGATGCCGCCGAACTGTGGGACGCACCTAGGGTTTCTCCCCCAGAGTCGGTCGCATGGACTTACACGGCTATCATAAGACTTATGCTAACATACGGTGCAGTTGTCTGGGTACCGAAAACCCAAAACTTAACAGCTATCCGTAAACTAGAACAAATTCAAAGAACAGCATGTCTCAACATAACAGGACCCATGGAAACAACACCGACCAGAGCAATGGAAGTCATTCTTAGTTTCCCTCCCATTGATATTTACATCAAGGAAGTTGCTCTGACAATAAAGACACGCCTCCGCACGGTTGGAATAGAATCTGATGTAGGATCTAGTGAGGCGAGACGTCACTGTTGCCAGGAGGCGCTCGATACGCTCCCACTGCTTCAAGCGAACATGGACTCCACCTCACCGAGATACATCTTTCATAAATCATATAAAGTTATAATAGAACAAATAGAAGAGCCAGAAGAGGCAGGTACGATTCATATCTACACCGACGGTTCTAAAACAAAAAAAGACTCCAGATTCTTAAACCTAAACATAAAATGGGCTGTGAGCAATAATACCAGTGTAGTTCAAACAGAGCTAACGGGGATTCTCATAGCAGCAAAAGAAATAACCAGAAACAATATCACTGGAAGGAACATGCTGAACTATACAGATAGCAGACAAGAACTACTCACCCTGAACAGACCACGAATTTATTCAGGGTTAGTACTAGAGTGTCACGAAGCTTTGGCCGAAGTATACATCAACAATATGGTCACCTTAAGATGGATCAAAGGTCACGCCACATCAAAAGGTAACCCGTCTTGCCGATTCACTAGCCAAGAAAGCAGCCAACCAAATACTTTTTGGACCTGGCCCTTCTATTGGCCTGACAAAACCGGTAGTGACAGACCCAATTAAAGAACATTCTCTTGTGAAATTCAAGGAAAGATGGGATGAAACAAGAAACTGCAGAGTTGCGAGGGAGCTCTTAAGTTATCCTGACAACACTGCAGCAAACAAATACTTGACTATGATTAGACAAAATTTGCGCCTGGTCACAGGCATTCTGACTTGTCATTGCCAAGTACGGAATCATCTCCATATCATGGGGCTGTCAGAATCCGCACTTTATAGAGGGTGCGAACAAGAAGATGATACCATCGAGCATATCCTTTACGATTGCTCCACGCTTATTAGAAGATTTGTGTTCGGCGAGTATTGGCTAACACCGGCCGATATAAGAGAAGCACCTCTTGGCGATGTTGTCAACTACATTAAATCTGTAGGCTGGCTCACGAGCTAGGAGGTGCCTATCATCTTAGGAGGATGCACAATGGGCATAATGAGGCCTAAGTGCCGTGGGGGTAACCCAACCTCCACACGTTACAGATACAGATGGTGAGTAAAGTTTGATTTTAATTTTTGATAGAATTAGTTTAAATTTGAATAATAAGATAAGTATTTTTTTGGTAAATTTAAAAAAGGATGTGCTTTTTTTTAAATATTATTAAAAATTGAAAAATCTTTAAAACATGTCACTTAAATATAAAAAGAATAATGTATTTGTATTTTAGTTTGTTTTTTTTTTGATGATCATAAATATTAAACCTAATTTGTAGTTTGTAACCAAGCTTTAAGTTATTTTCCTGAACATTTCTAATTAATCTCCTTTTCCCCCTGTACCATGGAATTAATTCCTATCGAAAAATATGTGGTGCGTTTGATTTGATCATCAGAGGTCTCCGAGCACTGCGTACGTGTTTGAATTGACACTCTGAGCGATCTCAAAACTGTTGTTTCCACATACTTTGAAGTATGTGGTTTGTTTCGCTATGGAAAGAGAACATAGAGCGAGCTCGACGTTCTTGGAGCAGAAGGATCGAGAAGTCGGAGAAGTTTGTCTTTGTCTCTACCTATCTTTTTTAATTAACCTACAAACTTGAATCTCAAATTTTGATATTTGAGACCAGTCAAGTTTACAGTCAACAAATTATTTATCTGCTTTTGTATAATAGCTAAAATTAATTATCATAAAAAAAAGTGTTTGGAAAATGTATTTTTACTGCTTAGATATAATAACCAGTAATCACAGTAATGGAGTCTGAAAGCGAAGTGATCGTTTGTAATATATGCGGCATTTCAGGGCCACTGGCTCAAATCAAACGTCCCTTTAAAAGCATTTTGGATCCTTTATTTACAGACCTGTTAACTGGACTATAAATTGAATTAAAAAAACCTGTCAATTTCAACATTTATCCAGCATATTACAGTTGTCAAAGTTAATCGGTATCATTAATTATGTCAGTATTACTTTTTCTATATTTGCGAAATTTAATGTTCATATTTAAAGATCTAACTAAGGAATGAAGATTTTGATCGTTCTTTTTAGATATTACAATTACTTTCCTCGTTTGAGAACAATATGGAATGCACTACCATCAAATTTCATTTATCAGTACAAACAAAAGTTCATAGTTGGTGGAAATTGGAAAATGAATGGATCCAAAAAAACTGTCCGTAGACTATTTAAAATATTAGAAAAAGGACCAATAAATAATAACACACACGTTTTCGTTAGCGTTCCTACCATTTATTTAGGTAACTTAAGTCCTATTTTTTATATTGAAAACGTGAAAGTACCCTCAATATTAATATACCTATTAATAAAGGTTTATTGTTTTTGTCAAATTATATACCTATCGTAAAATGTACATTAAATAGTCAGACTTGATTAAATTTGAAAGAAGTTGGACATTATTTGTCCTAGTCTATTTTCGTTAATTAGTTAAAATTCACTTAAAACGAGAAAGAAAAGTTTATTTTTGAATTTGTATATTATGATAATTTAAATTATAATAAATATTTCGTATAAAAAGACAAGAAGTTGAAATCATATTCAAAAAATATTATGGTTCATCTTCTGACGATAGTACATCAATATTAACTTTCTAAAATAAAAGTCTTCATGAAAATACCCTTCCCGGTTTCCGTTTGATGCATTTTTTTAGACGTAATTTTTTTAAAATAATTTTTGTTACTAATTGCAATAATTCTTATTTTTCTTTAAAAGTGATGGCTTCAGTTTTTTCTTTGTTTGGTTCTCAATCGTCTATTTCAAATGCAACTGCTCAGTCAGGGTTTTCTTTGATTTAAATTTTTTGTATTAAAATTGTACCAATATGTAGATATATCACTTTTTATGATAAAAACAAATCGGTATGTAAATTAATCAGTCATATGTTTAATAATAATTAAAAAATAAAGATTAACTTTATTTGTATGTTTTATTGATAAGCAAACGTAATTTTTAAACACAGCTATTAAGCTATAGCTATTTTTTGAAAAAAAAAAAAGAACCGATATCAACTGAACCAATATAAATAAATATTCAGTTGAACTACTACTTCCTATATCGCAGACAATGTGAACTATTTTACAACTTCAGTGCTGCTAACAGATATTAAAACCGGACTTATAAATGATGTGCTAAATCATGATTTTAGTCATTTAGTTAAATAAACACGCGATTTTATAATCGTGTGTTTATTCAGAGGCAGAAAGTTACGGCCCTTAGTAGCTTTGACTCTGGTTCGCCATGTAGTTTCATGCGTCTGGCTTTTCTTCGCTTAGTGTAAGAAACCTCAATCTAACCAGGCCTTCATACTGGGCATAGAACGTGGACTGATGTTTCCTCTTATTTTTCACAATAACTGCACATTGTTGCCTTTTCTGCTGGATTGATGACACTCATGTGCCTTTTTAGGCGACGGTGCTTAGGCGATGGTTCCTTGATGAATTGTTTGGTCTGTCTCAGTCTTGGATAGTTCCACCATTCTTGGGACTCTTTTTGCATCATTTCTTTGATGGATGTTTTGCACAATGCCTTGGCAACTCCACAGAAGGGTTTAAGGCCTGTCCTTTCCTTATTCGAGCCTTATCGGGCTAGTTCGTCGACCTGTTCATTGCTCTGATATATCTCGTGGCCTGACACCTATGTAGGGTTACCTTGTTTTGACTACTTAGCTATGTTAGGTCTTCTAGGCAGTCATTCACCAATCGTGAATTGATTTCTTGTGAAAGAATTTCCTTTAGAGGTGCTTGGCCATCGAAGTAGATGGTAATAGTTTTGCCTGATTATTTCTCTTGAACAGCATTGTATGGCTATCAGTTCAGCCTGGACTACTATTGCGAGAATACGATAAATAGTTGATCAAATTGGTAATAATATTAATAAAGTACTAGGCACTTAATTTCCAGCTAATGTAAAAATTTGATTAAAATATTGTTTTTATTCATTAAATAGCCTTGATAATAATTGTGATTCGATAAGAATATTCTTAATATATCTATATACTACGTTTCGTACCATTTTACGTAGGTATATTCGATAGAACTAATGATATTACTTACATACTACTGAAAATCTACAAAAATTTCCTCGAAAGTTGTATACTCCAACTTTTAGTTTAGCCGGTTTTTCACATAATTAATATTATGTGTATAATTATTGATATGTATGCGTTAAACACAGCTGACAATAATTTAAATAGTAGGAAAATATGTAATTTGATTTTTATTTGAATTTGAAAATCAACAAGTATTAAAAGTAATTTAAAAAAACCGACTTCAAAATCGTGCAGATGCCGTCATCACATCTTAACCAAATTTATATAGGACGACCCCTGAGGTACCCCCTTGCTAACAAAAAAAGAATAATAGAAATCGGACAAGGTGGTAAAGAATTATCGCTGAACATACATAAAAAAATATATTACGACGAATTGAGAACCTCCTCTTTTTTTGAAGTTGGTAAAAAATAATTTTTTTTGTACAAAATATATTGACATTTTTTTTACATTCAAGATATAAGTACTTACTTACAGCAGGATTAAATTAGGGCAGACAAATTATAAATACATAGTTTTAAAATACGAGACGAGACGAGACGAGACGAGACGAGACGAGACGAGACGAGACGAGACGAGACGAGACGAGACGAGACGAGACGAGACGAGACGAGACGAGACGAGACGAGACGAGACGAGACGAGACGAGACGAGACGAGACGAGACGAGACGAGACGAGACGAGACGAGACGAGACGAGACGAGACGAGACGAGACGAGACGAGACGAGACGAGACGAGACGAGACGAGACGAGACGAGACGAGACGAGACGAGACGAGACGAGACGAGACGAGACGAGACGAGACGAGACGAGACGAGACGAGACGAGACGAGACGAGACGAGACGAGACGAGACGAGACGAGACGAGACGAGACGAGACGAGACGAGACGAGACGAGACGAGACGAGACGAGACGAGACGAGACGAGACGAGACGAGACGAGACGAGACGAGACGAGACGAGACGAGACGAGACGAGACGAGACGAGACGAGACGAGACGAGACGAGACGAGACGAGACGAGACGAGACGAGACGAGACGAGACGAGACGAGACGAGACGAGACGAGACGAGACGAGACGAGACGAGACGAGACGAGACGAGACGAGACGAGACGAGACGAGACGAGACGAGACGAGACGAGACGAGACGAGACGAGACGAGACGAGACGAGACGAGACGAGACGAGACGAGACGAGACGAGACGAGACGAGACGAGACGAGACGAGACGAGACGAGACGAGACGAGACGAGACGAGACGAGACGAGACGAGACGAGACGAGACGAGACGAGACGAGACGAGACGAGACGAGACGAGACGAGACGAGACGAGACGAGACGATGTTTAAATTTTAAATTATGATAAGCAATTGAAAATTTTAACTTGGTGAAAAGTAAATTGCTCAAAAGAGTTCGGGGGAGCTCGAGAGAAACGACAAATTTTCGTCTAGAAATGACACTATCTCGTCTCGAATCTGTTTTTGAGAAAAAGTGTCTCTCTCGTCGAGTCTAGACGAGAGACGAGAATATCTCGCGGTATCACTAGTATTTGGTTGAATTTGTTATATTTAAGATGCAAAAACGGATATAAACTATATTTGAGAGTGTTGGCAGATGATCCATATAAAACAGGACGAAGCGTACAAACTTGTAAGTAGAAACCACATTGTATTTAAATTCAATTATTTTTACACAAGTTTTTTATCAAAGACCTCCGCCTAGTGTACGTTAAAAATAATAAAAATCGGGACAGCACAATTGGAGTAACTGCTTCTCACCGTCATAGTATCGGTGCGTGAAAACAGTCCCATTTATTAACACAAGATTTCGACTCCTGTGGCATCGTTACCTACGTCGTGTCGGTCTCGTGTGAAAATGCCCAATTTGGTACAGAATTAATGTGTATATAGGCTCACATTTAAATAATTGAAATGGGTGATCAGTGATCACTTAAATATAAATATAAAATATTTCATAAAAACATGGATTATTTAATTCATAAGAACAATATTGCAAATTGTTACATAAACAATAATTATAACTATTTTTTAGCATACAGTAAATCATTTTGTCCGAAAAATGTCCAATTAGCTGCTCAGAATTGCTATAAAGCAAAAAAAGGAGCTTTTACAGGTGAAACATCGCCAGCTATGCTCAAGGAGATTGGTGTAGAATGGGTTATTTTGGGACATTCCGACAGGCGACAAATATTCAAAGAATCCAATGAGCTTGTTGCAGAAAAAGTAATGTATCTATGTACTAGTATGATTTTTTTACCATCACATCAAAAAAGAAAACTTATTTTTCCTTAAACTATTTTGCAATGCAGAAAATTATTGGTATTTTTCATCATATCATCATATCTTCTTCGGAACTCTCTTAAATTAGCATCACCAAATCAGCAAAATCAAAACTTCAAAATCACAATAAATCAGTATTAACATGTTAACTAGTTACATATGTTTCTCTAATTTCGCAAATAAACACATTACTTGAAAAAACCAATATCTGAAATATCAGCCATATTTATAAGAGTAGTAAGAACTTTTTTATTAAAGAATAGAGCAGAACACCTGTGAATTTTTTAAATCTGGAGCCCAAGTCTTAATTAAAAACATTTTGGCTATTTGGTGATTTGCTATCTTGGTATACTGTGTTAAAATTGTAAACCCCCTTGTGAGAGTTACAATATAATTTTAGGCTCCTAATATATCAGCACACATTGTTTTTTGATCTTATATGGTTGGTACCATAGCTCTCAGAAAGTCTAGATACCGCAATGATGGATATGCTGCCAATACAATAAAAAGACCTCTTTCATGCTGGCTACCATGCTAACTGGATTATGTTTAGGCTACACTGATTTTTAGCTCTTGTTCCGTAATAGGTGAATAGTGACAATATGCACTTTGTTATTATTTGTGAGTGAGTGAGATGAATAATTTATAAGTTAAAATTAGGAATAAAACTTTGACAAACCTTTTTTGGCATGTCAGGTTTTATTCAGTCGGGACCGGTTTTTAAAGTTTCTCGTTTTTGAAATGCTATTTGCACACACTCCAATGATTAGGTATACACAAATGGAAGACATGAATTGATGAAGGGCCTATCTACTTGAATGTTGTTTTTAAGAAAAACCTGTTTAAAGTTTTTTGTGCTTATTTTAAGACAGAAAGGCTATTATAAAACAACAATTTTCCTATAAATATGTATTTATTGATAACATATTTGTAATATAAAATCTAACCTAAAAAACGTTTAGTTTTTTTACAAAAAAATACATAATGTACATGCACCCTTTATCCACTAATTCGTTTAACAGGATAGGTTTATAGGGACTGAAACTTACAAGAAAAAACAAGTAAAACTATTAATGTGTGCCTGAATGACGCACGCCTGTTTACATCTGTTAAAACATAGGACCTGCTTTCAAAGAGAAACATACATAATGATATCAGTTTTTAAAGGATAAGGGGTATATAAACATTTTTTTGTACATAAACCCTTTATCTTCTGAATACTTTTTTAATTGTTATCAGATTCTGCTTAAACATTGTAAGAACATTATTAACTACTTTTTAAACCTCTAGCACACAAAAAGTTATTTTTTAAAAAAATGCGTCATAGGCCCTTTATCCATTCATGTCTTCAAATGAATTCCAAAGAAAATTATATAATTTAATTCAATTTGGTCAAAATGAGAAAATTCTGTTTTGTATTGTAACCTCAGAAAAAGTATTTTAAAGCTTATTTCTTTAGGCATATTAAATAATATAGAGGATGAGTCACATAAAACTATAGAAATCCATATGTCTGAAACCACTTAACATTTTAAAATTTAAACCTATTAAAAGTCATTTGGCCCCCACGGATGGGTGATTATCGAAATAAATGATCGATCATTGAAAATAATCGATTATTTTTGATCAATCGATTCTTTTCAATCTATTTTTTTCGTATTTCCTTTAAAATCGACTACTTGACTATCTTTGAAAAATCTAAAATATTCGATTAATTAAAAAGCCAATTAACCGATAAATCAATGTTTACAAAAAATAATAAACGAATTATCGTTTATTTTAATTAATCGATTATTTTCAAACAATCTATTTTTTTCGTATTTTCATTGAAACAGATCATTCGATAATTCTTGAAAAATCGAAAATAATCAATTAATCAAAAATAATTAATTAATTAAAAAGTCGATTAACCGATAAATCAATTAAAAAAACCGAATTATCGATAATTTTCGATCAATCGATTATTATCAAATAATCTATTTTTTCATATTTCAACTAGTATAAAATGAGTCTAAAACTATAACTCTTATAAGGTACATAAATAAAAAAAAAATAAAAATGCTCTGCTAGCTTGATATGCATAAAACATTGTTTTGTATCTCAAGACATTGTGATACAAGTTATAAAAGTAATTTTAAAAAACTGACTTCAAAATCCTGCAGATTCCATTAGCAGATATTAGCTAAATTTATATGAGACCACCGCTGAGGTACATCCTTACTAACAAAAAAAGAATCATAGAAATCGGACAAGGTGGTAAGGAATTATCGCTGAAAATACATAAAAAAAAATATTCCGACGAATTGAGAACCTCCTTCTTTTTTTTGAAGTCGGTTAAAAATAATTGCAAAATGTTAGGCTTTTTGGAATAAATATTTATACTTAAAATAAGACATAAACGGGAAACGGATAGAAACGTCAAATAACCAATTGGTAGAATCAATAAAAAAGTGCTTTGGTTAATTTTTAAAAAATAAACGAAGATATGGAGATTACTAATTATTGACACCTTTAATTATAGGTATTTTTTGCCAAAAAATTTAATTTAAAAGTGGTGGCCTGTGTTGGAGAAAACCAATCTGAACAAGCAGCTAAAAAAACATATGATGTAATTTTTAAGCAAACCAAAGCTATATCTGAAAAATTATGTGGCGATTGGACCAACGTAGTATTAGCATATGAACCAGTTTGGGCCATACGGACAGGTATGTAAATACCAACCTATAATTATTTTTCTTTGGAAATTAATTTTCAGTTTTAGTTAGTTGTCGAAGCAAAGGAATGGCTTGTTATATGTGTATGCCATAAGAAAATAAATTATAAAATAAGGAAATAAACTGAAAGGTTTATCCCATGAAATTGTGTTGGTTTAATTGTCGAAACAAAGACAAGTGAAAGAATTTAGCAATACATTCCAGATTCCGAGGAATGATAACAAACCAAAGGAAAATTAGAAAACTGTTTAAAAAATCCGGTTACTCAAATTAACAATTAGGTAATTCCGTTCGTTCCGGTCGTCCAATGGTTTTCTCAAAAACAATTTTCCAATTTTTCTTAGGTTTGTTATCACCCCTCTGATTCTGTAAATATTCTAAAATACATGAACTTATATCCCAGTATAAAGCAGTTCTTTATACTGGAATTATACCCCTACTCAGTCTAGCTACTGTTTTTAGTTTTTTTTTCAATTATTTCTTAAGGTTTTATACATTTTCTATGACATTATTTTCCTATTTCCCTGCTATAGGAGTTATCCTTCTTTTCAGAGTAATTTCCCTGATTACAATAAGTAACCTAGTTAGCTGATCTCCTAGCGCATGGAACGTGTTTGGCAGGATTTGTACCAAAATGATAGAATTTCCAATTTTATCTATGGTCTATTTTCAACCTTATTGAGTATTTAATGATCAGTAGGCACAATAGCGTAAGCAGATTACCTGGTCATTCTGCTAACAAGGAATTTTATGAACATGCTTCTGAAGACGTTCATGAGATCCACATGGCAGATTTGTAATATGTTACAGATTTTCTTATTGTAAGCTGTTATTTTTCTCTATTAATAGTTGTTCTAGTTTGAAACTCTTCCAGTTATTTGGATTTTAAAAGGGATTATAGCAATTGCTTACAACTAATTTATACTCAAGTTGCAGTGGTCCGTCCCAGACGCGCGCCTATGTAAGAGTGACGCGAGGATATGTGCGCGGAAGATACGTGTGGTGCGCGGGAGACGGTCGAAGCGGGCAGTCTCGTCTGAACTGCAAGGGAGTGAGGGTTCAGCGTGACAACAATAAACGTTAACCTTTCGTTGTTTGTGAGATATAAGTTTTTTTTATTGTCTTATTTGGCAATATAAATAGTTCTATACCCAGTGTGTGTGTTCTTTCAAACCTCAGAACCCATCTTAACATCGAACCACTTCATCTGGCCCCAACGAGTGGCGAGGGAAAGCGACATATTTGGGTATTGTGAATGAAAATCAACGTTGGCGTTAGGCGTTTGCTGAGACTGTACAAAGAAGAACCGACTAATCTTCGGAAATCTGGGTGAGATTTTTCCATTTTTTTTACTGTTTTTCTTCGAGAGATCGACTGATTAATAGATCAATACAAGGAACTGTATATTATATTATAAACAATGCCGAGAAGGAGGAGCAAAGCTAGTGACGAGGCGCACAATGGTGATTTATCGGACGTTAACAATAAAATTGAAAATTTAGTTATAGGTTTAGCAAGTCTACAACAAACTGTTTCTAATTTAGCTGAAAGTTTACAAACTATAAATAATAGAACTAGTGGAAATCAACCAGAACACGACGAGAGCAAAATAAATAATCCAAATCTAACAGTTTTATCCGAGCCTGTACACTCTTTGGCGGTACAGTCAAATAATAAATCATACATCTCTCATTGGCGTGATCTGGGGGGTGGAAACTTAACTTTTTATCCGAACTCCAAGGTTCATCCCATGACATTTTTAAAAAAACTAGATAAAATTTTTATTGAAGCGGGTGTACCCGAGGAATGTAAAAACAGTCTTGCTATGACTTGTCTCAGAGGCGCCGCAGCCGACTGGGCTTCTCTTAAAGAAGAAACATTTAATAATTTCAGAGATTTTCAAGATGCTTTTGTAAGTAGATTCTGGGGGGTAGATAAACAACGAGAATTGTACCTAGAATTAAACTACGGTCGCTTTGAGCAGGGTGAAAGGGCCGAATATTTTTTGAATTTAATATCGCAAGCAAATTTTTTAAAGGAAACGATCCCGTCTTATAAATTGATCGAGATGATTTCCAAACACTTTCCGGCGGAAATACAACGCGGAATTATCACAAGCGGATTCGCGACTATTGAGGAAGTCGAAGGTTATCTAAAAAAAATTGACGAAACGTATAAAAATGATTCTATAAACAGGGGCGTGCGTCGTAATTATAACACGAATAGGGGAAGGGAAAATAATGCTCCTATAGTGAAATCTGATCCTATTTCAAGAAATGAAAATCACGACGTAAGGTATATAACAAAATTCAACGAGGATCCTGACACTTTGTTATCCGATCCGGGGGAAGATATTGAGGAGTCAGAGACTCTAGCACCCTCTATAAAAGTTACTATAGGGCAAGAGTCTGTCACAACACTGCTAGACAGTGGATCAGACATATGCGCGATATCAGAGGAGTTTTTCGAAAACATTAAAACTTTTGTCAATACTAATATACCGTTGTTGCCGGTCACAAATGTAAACATTCATGTAGCTATCGGTGGAAAGACGCAACGCGTAAAACAACAAATATTTTTACCTATAACCATAAATGAGCAGGCGATGGACGTCACTTGTTTGATAATCCCTAAATTAAATTGCAATTTGCTTTTTGGTTCTGATTGGTTGTCTAAATACAAAGCGATTGTCGATTTTGAAAAATCACAACTCAATTTAAAGGTCAACGACCAAATCTTAGTTTTAAAAATATCGTACAAATTAAAAGCAAGCGATATATGTATTAACTTGTGTAAAAGTAATGAATACGCGGCTATTCCGTCCCCCTTACCAGTTGCAGTAGGTGCGCCGATGACCCGGCACGAGTATTCCGAAAACGACCTGCAAGCTGCTGCAAGTTCGGTAAAGGGTGATGCAATCAGTAGACAATATTTATTGCAGGTATTAGTCGAAAATAAAAACGTGTTTTCAGAGTGTCCTGGAACGGTGGTGGGATACTCACACGATATTGAGTTAAACGACTATTCTTCGTTTAATATTCCTTCATATCCGATTCCCTTCATATATAGGAAGGAAGTAGAAAAACAAATAGGCGAGATGCTCGCGTGGGGGGTGATAAAGAAAGAGAAAACCTGCTATGTTTCACCGCTTGTTTGCGTTACTAAAAAAGATAAAAGCGTGAGAGTTTGTCTAGATGCAAGAACTTTAAATTCAAAAATGAAAAAAGATTATATAAATCCTCCGAATATTAACGAATTATTTTTAGAATTTAAAAAGGGTCAAATATTTAGTTCAATAGACTTAACTGCAGCTTATTGGCAAATAAAAATAAACGAAGCGCATACAAAATACTTGGGATTTGTTTTCGGATCAGAAACTTATACGTTTTGCAAATTACCTTTCGGGCTGTGTACTTCGATGGCCAGTCTCGTTAGATGTGTGAATAAGGTGCTAGGGGAAGAATGTAAACAATTTACGCATGTTTATGTAGATGATTTGCTCGTTTTTTCGGACAATATTGAGAATCATTTAAAACATTTAGACACTGTGTTTAAAAAATTAAATGCATCAGGTTTTACTGTTAAACTTCGCAAATGCCAATTTATAAAGGAAGAAACACCTTTCGTGGGACATATTATTACGAGGGAAGGTCTGAAAATAGACCCAAGATGAACCGAAATTATTAAAAAATTTCCTCGTCCGCGCAGCATAAAAGAGTTGAGAGGATTTCTAGGGCTTGTTAATTACGAGCAACGTTTTTGTAGTCGTTATGGGGATCTTACTTTGCCACTATTAAAATTATTAAGAAAAAATATAAAATGGGAGTGGGGTGATATTGAGAATGAAGCTTTCGAAGCTATCAAAGAGGCTTTTATCGAGGCGGTTTTAATACATCATCCGAATCCGGCTGGTACTTTTTATATTCAATGCGACAGTTCCGCGTTCGCGATTGGGGGTTGCTTATTTCAGTACTCCGAGGAAAATGAAAAATTAATTATTGCATATACAAGTTCCACTCTTAAGGGAAGTCAATTATCATACACGGTGACCGAAAAGGAAGCATTTGCTGTGGTACATTGTCTAAAACAGTGGCGTACCTTAGTACTGGGGCGTCCTTTAATTATTCGGTCTGATCATAAATCGTTAAGCTTTCTTCTTACGTGTAAATTGCGCTCCTCACGGCTAACTCGGTGGACGATACTAATCCAGGAGTTTGATTTCGACATGGAATTTTTTACCGGGTCACAGAATGTCACGGCGGATGCACTGTCGAGGGTTAGAGGGGAAATAGAGGAAGTTAGGCCAAGTGTGGGTAAAGATGTGAACATTTGTCTTTTAAAAATGACGAATGATTTCGAAACTCTAAAGGACCATTTTAAGAATCTTCGGCAAGATCAGTTAGCCGAGGAATGGATTCAGAAAAAGGTATCTTTCTTAGAAAATAGTCCCAATAAGGAATCTAAAATTACAAAATGGTACATGTTGCATGAGGGGTTGTTGTTTAAAAGGGGTGATTCTAAAAATCCGGGGTTTAAGCTTTGCGTGCCTCGACCTCAGTGTAAAGACTTAATATTAGCGCATCACAATGGCTTAGGGCACTTTGGGAAAACAAAGACATATCTTTATATGCGTCAGTTGTTTTTTTGGCCCAAAATGATGAAACATGTGAGACAGATAGTAGCTTCATGCGAACTATGCCAAAAGGCTAAATCCGTTTCTGCTAATAAGGGATTATTAAATCCGGTCATAGTTAAAAAACCGGGAGATCTGGTATGCCTGGACCTTATAGGGCCTTTGCTCAAGGGAAGAGGGGGGGTTGTTTTCCTACTGGTATTGGTAGACGCATTCTCTAAATTTGTGAAATTATATGCCCTCCGAAATGCAACTGCAAGGGCTATTTTAGCTAAACTTTTTAAGCATTATATTCCTGAGATTCAGAAACCGAGAAGTATTTTATCAGACAACGCGTCTCAATTTACCAGCCGCGAAT